TGTTGTGGAGTAAGAGTTCCTGACCTGAACTCCCCAGCCTGTGAAGGGGCACGGGGCAGGGGAAGTCGCCCTGAAGCGCTACACTCTGTCCTCCTGGGGAGTGCCTGTATGTAAAGGCATAGCTGCAGTACTGCCTTGCCAAGTGCTGTCCACCTGCTTTCCGCCTAAGTGACCTTGGGATTATAACACAGTCACACAGCAGTGGTCTGATGCTTAGAGTCTGAAACTGCTTGCCCATTGCAGCTTTATTTTATTTGTCTGGAAATTGCTTAGCTCTGAAATTTATAGCATGATTGTTGCTCTGCTCAGATCCTTCTCTGATCTATTGATCTGCGCTTTATTTTATACTGACGAAGTATTTCATACTCATTTACAAAAATAAAAATAAGCAAAAGTCATCACCATAATATTTTGATATAAATTGGACATTTACAAATTGCTCAAAGGCTGTGATGCCAGTAGGAAAAATCATGACCCAACCTCTAATCTTAGAAGCATTCATCTGAATGAAATATTTTGCAAACAAGCTTACAGCGTGGGCTTACAGTCTGATTTTGTTTTTTCCCCTGCATCGGCAGGATTGAAAAAGCAGCAATATGTGGTTAAGAGTTGTCTTGCACAGGGCTGGAGAATGCAGCTTTTTGATCCCATCCCACACTCTTCTAGATGTGAAATATGAGTGGCTGAAACTATCGCATATTAGCTGTGTTCTCCTGTGCTGCACCACCACTAAGCTCAGTGCAGGTAGATCTGTCCCAAGGAAGAGTCTTGCTCTGTACTCCCCTCTTCAGCACCAGACAGAAATTTAGAAAAAAAAAAAAGATCATGTAGAAAGTAAAGCAGAAATTCATGTCTAAAATAGTTGTACTGTTAAATATAGCAGTAAGTCCAAAATCGGGTTCTAATTGATCAGAGAATCAATCAGTAACTGCTTGCTGCAGTCATGTAAAATGCAGACTGAAGCGGCAATGGCTAAAATTTGCTAATTTGAGCACTTCAGAAGTTTAGTAGAAACTTGAAATAGCCTTGGGAGCTATAGTTCCTGTCTCAGTTGATGCATGCCTATATTACTAATTGTAACGGCAGGTATATTTCTTCATATTTGCCAAGACTAGACCCAGAAAAGTGCTCAACAGTGAGAGAATGATTTCCATTCTAACTCACACATATTATCCTTTTCTCATTTTAAGAAAATTTGGAAAGTGAAATTTCTCACTTGTTAAGAGACCATGCTGGTGGGACTTACAAAATCTGTGCTGATCATGATGGTAACATACTGTACAAAACACAGAAAAATGCCTTGCCAAAAGCTTCACTAGCAAAAGGGGATTTGCTTCATTTATGAAGTTTCAGACCTAAGACACTACTAATCTCCTCTTAAAGAAAAAGAAAAGAAAGGGAACAAGAAGAGAAGAGATCCTGTTTGAAATATAACTTGGATTTCTTCAAACAACATGGAAGGTTAAGATGGTAGGAGAAAAAAGAAGTTTTACAGGAACTGTTTACTTATTAACTAAGGCACATAGCCTGACTCTTGTACTCTGGAAATGGATCAGACGTGCTGGCAAAGGATCAAGGATCATATAGAAACTTAATATGATTTGCCATTTTAAAATGGGATTCTGTCTCATAACTGTTAAGAAGTACTCATTGATTGCTGCCATAAAGGAAAGGAATGGCCACTCCCCATGAAGCACAAATTAACAGTAATATGCAGAAAATATTGGAATTCGTGTTGGATGCCAACAAGTAAGAATAACAAAAAAGCATGACCGCATGAATAAGAACTTCTTATTGCTTTTTAAATAACACTTTCAGAGCAATTTGGAACTGAGCTAGTGTACTGACAAATGGTTGCTGGAAATGGAATGTTAAGGTTTTGTTCTGTTGTTTAAGCACATTCAAATTTTAAGAATATATATATATATATGAAGAGGAGAATAATTCCAGAATTTATATACAGAAAAAGGGGGGAAAAAAAGGTAACTAGGGTGAAAGAAGAAAAAAGTCATGAATATTAAACTGAGAATGATCTTTTCTTTAGCATTTACCATTTCTCCTAGGAACTTACCATTATTTCCAGCTGGTGTTTTTATTAAAGACTCTGCAGAATGCAAAACATTTAGAAAACTTGCAATGTATTTTCCCACTGTTTGTTCCTCCTAATTTAGTTGTTCAGTCATAAACATAAAAGGATGCATAAAATTTCCTCGAACTTTAGATATAGACAAAAATTAGTGATTGGAAAAAAAATTAATAGAATTTCTATCCTCCACTCTCATTTCTAGAGGATCAGTAAAATAAAAGGAAATAAAAGAGTCCAGTGGCTATTATAATTGGTAATAAAAAAACCACTTGTGACTCTCTGTGACTTCTTCAGTGACTGTTAATGTCAGGAACATTTTTCTTTTTCTCAGACCAGTATACCCACAATCAGCAGTTGATGTTTTTAGAAGGAAAGATTATACAGTTGGCAGATTAGGCAAAGTGAAATGTAGACATTCCTGATGTGGCTTGACAGATGCTGTTATAGCTTCAAAAGTCAAATTTAGGATGAGCTTCACAATGCACATTTTGTTCTGGGGCATGCTCAGGGACCTCAGCTTGTCTGCATTCAGTAATTTTGGAAACTTTTTCCTCTGATATGTTTTCATGTCATGTTTTTGAATATAATTTCTCATGAATGAAATAGATGGGAATCCCATATATGATGGATGTTATCCACCCTTTTGGATAATCCATTTTATCCTTCCCCCTTTGTTATCTTAGATTAAGTTGTAATTAGTTGTAATACTGTTGTGCCTGTAGTCCATTCTGTTGTCACTGGAAAAGATGCTTTACATGGGTGTAAAATATTGTAGAAGTTATTTACATCACTTTGAAGTGGGCCCATTCCATGCTGGAAAAGGAAGACATTTTATAAATAACAATAGGAAATTTAATTGTCATTTGAATATAATTTTAAATAAAAACATTTGAAATTACACTTTGTTACCTACAAATATTTCCTCAGCAATTAATGTTGCAGTTAAGCTGTATGCCACCAACCTTTTTCAGAGAAGATTCTCCTTGGCAATTAATGTTGAAGTTAAGCCGTATGTCACCATCCTTTTTTCAGAGATTCTCAATCTTCTAGAAAGAATATGTATTAATTTTTAAAGTCATATTTACAAGTAACCTACATAGGACCTGCTGATGTCTTGAATTTTCATAAAGCATCCCCTTATGAATTACAGATTCATAAGATGTCTTAGTAATTGTAGCCTGGGTATTTGAATGCATCATGGCTACTCCTGGTGCAATGCATTCTCCATTATAAACAAGATTCTGCTTATAAGGCCTGTCTCCCAGGTCGCTGAATTCCAACATCAATGACTGCAGTAAACAAGATATTGTCTACATTTGAACGATGTTCAGCTTGGAAACAAAATGGATGATACAAGCCTGCTTGCCTTGTTTGTTTGTTTTGTGCTTATTTTTTTAACTCTGACAAAATTTATTTTGGCTTATTCTTCACCCACTCCTAATGTACTTCAATATTTTATTTCCTAAAAATACTGACTTTCAGAAAATTCAGAGTTATTAGTGGAATGCGATAAGAAGAAGCCTCTATTTGAATACATAACTGAATGTATATTGCTCAAACAGTAGCCCTAAGATGAGTGTAATAGCCAGAAATGACTGGTGCTGTTACAGTTCATAAAGTCTTGGTCATCTGATGAGAAGACCTTAACCGTGAGCTTAATACAAGTGGGATCTAATTTCACATTACTAGGTCCTTAAATGCAGTTTAAAGAAGCATTTGCTTCTTTAACTGTTTTATAACCTGTATCAGAAATGAACAACCACATTCTTACATGTTCAGTTTCTGCATAGTATTGCACTCTGTATATGTGAATGTGGTTTATATCCATAGTAAATGAACTGTTTGTCATTTATATTTCTTTTGAAGAGTTAAGTGCAATTTGAGACTCATTCTGAAATCAGGTGAGGAAGAAGGTTGCATTGTATGAACACAGTTACTTCAGTTGCATATTGTCATCTGCTTGCATGCAAGTTAATTTGCAAAGTACTTTATTGACAGTTGGGCTGCTTAAAACAGGTGTACATATGCTATGTGTATGTCACGAAAAAAAAGAAAGTATTAATTCCAGTTCTTAGAGCACTGAATATACAACTCTTCTGATTTGGATGGCCCAGTTTTTCACACACACAGACTCATCAGAAGCCTTAAGAAACCACTTAGATCATCTGTGAAATGTCACAAATGAATTTTCATATCGTAAAAATGACCGGTCTAAATCAGAATCCCAGATGTTTATCTTTAAGAAAAGGACAGTTTCAAAATTTCAGGTTGTTAAAATATCAAGGGGTTTGAGGAGGTGAGGTTGATTGTCTTTCAGAGAGCCAGCAAAACTATTTACTGTCTCTATATTTCATTTCCAGACTCCCTTTCTTAAGGTGAAGTATCCTCTGTTAATAAAAAATACCATGCATCTAAAAAAAGAAGGAAATCTAGAAAAGAAGGAAGGTGGTCAAAAATCCAGCTATTATATAGTAGCTAGAGAGAAAGGATCGAATTCCGAGTTCCAGGATTTTTGTTAGATTTAATGTCTTCTTTATTTAAGTGCGTATACAATAAACAGTACATCAAATTTAATATATACATGTGATTGGTGATCTGATAAAAACTTTAGACCTTATGCCAATTGTTATACATTATTCTCCCTTTTATAATTATAGTGATATTCTCCATTGTGAGAGAAACACAATAGGAACTCTTATATTATTAAAAAAAATATATCAAATTTGTAGAACAATTATTCACTGTAGTTGCCTGTAATCTTCCAGAATCTTTTTTCTTTGTGTAGATACTTTCTTATAAATGCGTTAATAAAGAATAATTCTAAACAAAATAAGAAGAGAAAATTGGAAGCCTTCTCAATGCATTTTGTTCCCCACAGCAGGAATTACAAAATAATTTTGTTTATTTTTTCCAGTTCTTTGCTGTTGCCCAGCCAACACCTGAGGGATCACAAACGAACCTGGGAGTAAGTAATTAAAATTCAAAGCTTTAACATTCAGATACTTCTTATACTTTCTTTTGCTTCCAACTAGCAATTTTTTTTTTCCAGACAAGCTTTTAATTAACAGGTGAGTTTAATTGATATGTGAGGGTTTTTTTTTGTTTGTTTGTTTGTTTGTTTTTTTATGGAAAGGATATCAGTGAGAAGTAAGGGAGGAATGTTTCATTCTCACGTTTTGAGCTCATTTGTACATTGATGTTTCTGTTGAATCAATTTTCTTTAATGAATAAATAAAATGGAATTTCTAAATATTGGATAGAGCAGAGGAAGAGTTAACCAGAATGATGGCTAACTTTCCCAGTATCTTCTATCATAAAACTCCACCTCAATATTCCTGACAGATTAGTCTGCTGTGTTTGTTAAGAAGTAAGAATGACGGAAAATCTTAGACACTGTAAGCAATCTATTGTATTTAACTAAGCTTTTTATGATTTGATTAGGTTGAAGCTAATTTCATCAAACTTTGCCATCTAAAATACAGGTGTCAAGTCAGAACTAGTCTTCTGGACTCATATTTCAATGAATAGAGTCACTAGAGTTGTAAAACCCACCATAAAGTGAGAAGAGTCACCTTCTGTAGGTGGCTAAGTGCCTGGCTTCCAAATGCCTTATCTTAGATAACATGAATTCCCTGGTGTTTAACATGAACCTTACACTCTGCAGTTTAGAACTGCAGCTTTGTTTGTTCATTGTTTTGCCTGCCAGGGGTATAGAATTGCAAGAGTGGCTTGAGTTCTTGGGGGCTTTTTAAATGGTTGATTTCTGAAAGCAGACCAACATACTGTGAGATCGGATAATGTGCTATTTGTTTTGAAGTCGGGTGTTTTAATAGCATAAGACATGCTGAGCACTGGAGGTATTTTATGAGTTAAAGAAGCAACTAGCCAAAAAGTTTCTTGTGGTTAAGTCAGTAGTAGGACAGCACCCACATCTGTTCATGAAAAGATTTCTTTTTTGCACTGTCATTACTGCTCTAGCTGCATGCAAGTCTGATGGTGAGAGTTGGTGAGAAGATATTAGTTTTCCAAGATAATGAGTTCCATATTTTCATCTTGATGCTCCTCTTTTTGAGTATTTGTTGCCATATTTATTTCATTCAGTATACTTACATGTATAAGCAAATGATCTCTTCCTTGAGCAGGAGTGACCTAATTGGGCATTTAATATAAAATTGTCTTGTAACTGGATTGTGCAAGCTCCTACAAGAATATTTATAATTCTTGCATTCATATGAAGACAGTCCAGCTTTCCCTGATATCATTTGATCTGTCTTTGTGAAATACGATCTTTCAAGGAAAAAAAATGTGGAGATCATTGCTTTAAAAAAACTATTTGTTTTTCAACTAAACACATTTTTTCATAATAAATATGAAAATGATTCAAGCCTCCCAAAGCATTTTTAGAATTTCCCACCCTATGAGCATTATATAATTTCTCGTAACCAGAACTAAGGGCATGATAAAATATGATATTTATTGTTTTTATAAAGAAAAATCAAATAGTTTTCTGCTGCAGAAAATAACAGATACACATTTTAGGAAAAATGCCAAGTTATTTTTCTAAGGGCATAGGTGTCCACTACAATCTTATGCCCCCTTTCTGCACTGGCACTGGAAATTAATAGTCTTTCCCATGGGCTTTCTTCTGTGATGGAAACAGAAGACTGTTTTTCGCTTTGTGTGTTAATCAGTAGAGAGCAACGTTTCATACACAGCCCACTTAAGCTCTCCTGATAGCATATTATTCTGCTTGTATGGTACTGTTTGTGTAGATGGCACTTGGTGTATTTTTTTTCTTTGTTTTTGTTTGCTTGTTTTTTTTTTAGTGTAGATTTGTATCTGTTGATTGGTTTGGGTTGGCAAAGGTGAAAATGATGTTAATATTCATTTAAGAGCTCTGAAACATGGCTTTAAGACTTTGTCTTTATGTCTTACTTGCTTTCTCTTCTTTGGTGTCAATTAAGTTTATTTTTTCTGTTGAACATGTGTAGCAGGTTGCTGATATTTTCTTTTGTTCTTTTTTTCTTTTTTAAACAAGAGTAAAGTGGGAGGAAAATGGCTGCACAATATAACGTGCTGATGCAATATAACTCCACTTCTCAACATATGATAACTTGCCTGCTTCAGGAGATTAAAAAAAAAAAAAATAAAAAGAGCTCAATTAGTCCCTCATTTCCATTGTATCCCATAGTCCAAATGTATCCTCTTATCAAGTGGGCTTGCATTTATAACCCTGCAATCTGTCATGACAATGTTAGAAGAGAGGAAGGGGAAGATCTAGCTACAGAAGTATATTCTTTTCAATTGGTAGTGCCTGAAACAACTTCAACAAATTTTTAATTTGCTACATATATTTATTTTATTAGGATTAGGTATAAGCAATGACCTCTACAAGAACACTGTAGTGCATAATTAGTGTTATATTTGAGTACATAAACTTAAAAAATGTGAGGTTCAGATAGGAACTTGATAACTCCACTACCCAACTAATTACCAAAATGTTTGTCTCCATGCACTGGCCGGCTATGGATATGGAACATCTCTCTTTCTTCTTCTAAAACAGATGGTGATTTCAGCGTAGTGTAAGGTCACCAAATTCAAGCTGTTATGAACCAAAAACCAATTCCAAAGTTTTGCAGCTCTCACAGAGATGGCTTTGCCAAGCAACCCACTCTGTTATAATTTGGAGGAAAACGGTGTACTAGGCACACCAGTGGCAGAATGTCACCGAGCATCCGGGAGGCTGATCTAAGTCACTCTTTGGGACTGATCCAAGGATCAGAGAGTAAAGGCTTAAAGCCACCTTTAACTTCCCAGGAGTTGAATTGGGCATCATGATACTAACCCAAAGAGCTGGCTCAAAGCTTTATGAAATTGTAGAATATGTGAAAGCAAGCTGTGAAGACTTAATCCAGATAATATCACAGTGGGATAACGATGAGCTGGGGCAGCAACTGGGAGATTTGGCAGGGGATATGTCTGCAAAATGGCCAGCATTTCCTTCTTCAGAGTTATTATTTCTTTGTTAAAATAAAAGATAGGTTGTTAAGAAAAAGTATTTTAGAAGTATTTCACCATATATACTGAACAGTGAGCATTGCTGTACACTGAGAAACAAATTAATGAATCAAACATTGCAGCACTATCCACAGGGGCTCGTTTAAAAGCAAATGCATGACAGAGCTGGAAACCAGCTTAAATGCAAATGAACCAATGTGATGAAATCTGTAATGTTTGATTCATTAATTTGTCTCTCATCATACAGCAGTGATCATTGTTTAGTGTGTGCTACTAATGAAAGACCCTAAAAGACAGGGATTTCCAACTTTCCAGATGAGCTTTACTTTAACAGAGATGTTGACATAAAGCCTTTTATGCTCATATGAAAACCTCGCAGCATCTGTAGTAATCGGTTTCATTAAAAAAGTAATCTTTAGTATATATTTTAGTTTTCTTGTGATGTAGGCTAGCAGATGGAAAGAAGGAGAGCCAGCATCATATGATCTGCTAGCTTTCCAAGGGCCACCAGCAGCTAATATGTTATAGTTAAAAGGAGAAAAACACTTGAAAAAATAAAATCTTGGCTATGTGCTGAAGTAGATAAAGCACCCTCCATGCCCCCTACCTTTAGACACGGTTACTTTCCAGAAGATTTTAATCCACTGCAAAAGCAAGACTGAATGCCCAAAGGGTGAGGTGTGTGGGGGTCAACTATATTGTTTTCCTTCTATAGAAGTTAAGCTATTAAATGTCAGTTTTGATAGATACTCTGGTAACATATATTTAGTCTTGTGTACCAGTGACATCAGCGTTTATTTGTCAGCTCCTTACCTCAGCCTGGCATTGTGTTTCTGTTCACAGTCATTCACGTGACTGTAAGATTTGAGAGGACAGGACAGAAAGGGATTATCAGATTAAATGGCTGCTGTAGAGCAAATTATAAAATGTAGCAATCTGGGCTCCAATGATGAAGAAAATTTTACCTGAGTCAGTCTCAACACTTACAGCCACAAATACAGACATTTTTAGAGGCTTGTTTTTATTAGGATTCATCAATATGATGATGGGTTTGATTAGGAAGGGTCAATTCTGAGAGATGGGTGGCACTAGCTTCAAAGCATACCAGAAAAAAAAAGAAAAACAGAAGTCTTTCGTAGCTTAGCAGCAGCACATAATAAAGAATTGGCTCAGTTAGGGTTCACATTTTTGAGATTCTTCTTCCAAATCCAAACAACATGCACTAGACCAATCTGTCTATTTATTTCCATTCTGTATATACAATGGGATGACATTTAGGCAAATACATTGCTAAGTGCCTTGCAGGTACCTCTAGGTATTAAAATCTACCATTAACCACAAAGCAAGTGCACTCAATTCAAACATCTTATTTTTTATCATATCAACCTGAAACTGATTCATTTACTAGATTTTTGTTCTGTTTTTGGCTGGGATAGAGGAATAGTGGCTTGGGTTTAGGGTGGGAATCATACTGATAACACACCGTTGTTTCAGTTGTTGCCAAGCTATGCGAGGACATTGCAGCTCCTTGTGCTGCCTTGCCAGCAAGGAGGCTGGGGGTGAACCAGGAGTGGGGAAGGGACAGGACCAGGGCAGCTGGCCCAGGCTGGCCTCAGGGATATCCCATGTGGTGCTGTGTTGGCAGTAATGGCTGGGGGGTGGCCACTGCTCAGGGTCTGTCTGGGTGTCAGTCAGTGGGCATTGAGCAATTGCATTGTGCATCACTCACTTTGTACATACTTATTCTATATATTTATTGTTATTATTATCCTTTCCTTTTCTGTCCTATTAAACTATTTTTTATCTCAACCTGCAAATTTTATCTATTTCCAGTTCTCTACCCCATCCCACAGGTGGTAAGCTGGTGAGTGAGCAGCTGTGCGGTGCTCAGCTGCCTGCCAGCTTAAACCACAGTGGTTCTGATGCAATATTTTTTACAGGACAGTT